TCTTGAATCCGTATATTCTCCAAACTACCAGCTGTTTTTTTGAGAAAGCTAGACATTACAATGTAAAAAAAATGCTTGTTTTTTTCTGTTATATTTTTCAAATTCTGTGTAGTTTGAGTTTTTTTTTACACCGAATGTTCAAAAATCATCATTGAATTGTTCAATAGAACAAAAAATTGTTAGAAAAGGTAGAAAAAATGGTTTTTGGACGGACACAAGAAATGGAATGTATTTTGATCGCTTGGATTTTTGGTGAAAATTGTAAATCTGCCATTTTTCTCAACTTTCTTTTAATTAAAAAAATGACTTGTGTTGATATTTTTTTAGTCTCTGCGCTCTCTCTACGTTTACATGTTGTTTTCCCGTCTCTATGACCTAGGCGGAGAGAGAAAAGAGAGCGCAGACAGGCCAGAATGTCCCAAATCGTTTGAAATGACTGAAGAAAAAGTTTTTTCCATTAGAAAAATAGCCATTTTTCATTTACTTTTACTTTCTCTGCGCTCTCTTCAAGTTTATACGTTGTTTTCTTGTCTCTACGACCCATCCGATGAGAGAAAAGAGAGCGCAGACAGGCCAGACTGTCTCAAATTGTTTGAAATGACTGAAAAAAATTTTTTCCAATAGAAAAGTTAGCCGGTTTGCATTCAAGTCTCGTTTCTCTGCGCTCTCTCAGTTTTTTCACGTCTCTATGATCTTCACGGTGAGAGAGAAGAGGGCGCAGACAAGTCTTACTGTCTCAAGTCGGGGGAAATGACGTAAGAAAAAATTTTTGCGAATAGAAAATTTAGCCGTTTTGCATTCAAGTCTCGTTTCTCTGCGCTCTCTCAATTTTTTCACGTCTCTATGACCTTCACGGTGAGCGAGAAGAGGGCGCAGACACGCCAGACTGTCTCAAATTGTTTAAAATGACTGAAAAATTTTTTTCCAATAGAAAAGTTAGCCCTTTTTCATTCAAATCTTTTTTCTCTGCGCTCTCTCATTTTTTTCACATCTCTATTACCTACAAGATGAGAGAGAAGAGAGCGCAGACAAGTCAGACTGTCTCAAGTCGTGGCGAATGACGTAAGAAAAAAAATTTTTTCGATCTAAAAATAACCCTTTTTCATTTAAGTCTTCTTTCTCTGCGCTCTCTTCAAGTTTATACGTTCTTTTCTTTTCTCTACAACCCATCTCTGCGCTTTCTTTCACGTCTCTATGATCTTCACGGTGAGAGAGAAGAGAGCACAGAAAGGCCAGACGATGTAAATTCGTTGCGAATGACGTACAGTTCGAATTTTTTTTCGACTTCAAAAATATCTCTTTTTTCATGCACAGGAACATCACCAGTTTTCCATAAACATCAAAAAAAAAAAATTGAGGCAAAAATTATTTGCTTCTTGGGGGCTGGAAAACTTTCGATTTTCGAGCATTCATGCATATTTGCCCGTTATCAAACCAGATTCGGGGTCGTTTAATCCTTTGACACATTTTCCTGATAAACGGGAATCTCAATGTGCTCTGTTGACCGTTGCCCTACCAAGGAAAACGTTTTCCGAGACCCAATTTTTGCCTAATCACGCGGAAAGTTTTTCCGTGCCGCTCGGTGTCGATTTCATTCCATCTACCCCCCCTGCTCCTATTGATGATTTTGCAGCTTTTGATCACGTTTTTCGAGGGGTTTCGAATTACAAAACAATGAAATTTGGGTCTTTTTGGCTTCCCACAAGGTAGGTCATTTCACTTAGCGGTTGGGAATTTCCTGGCCGAAAAATTTCTGAAAGTTCCCAAAGAAGTTTCTGAAATTCTTAAGCTGCACAACTCCCTAGTTTTTGAGAAATAAGGGCGAAAAGTTCAAAAATAGCCTATTTTTATGGGTTTTGAGAGGCCCTTTTCCAAAAAAGGAGTTTTATACTTCCAGAAACTTCCTCATGTACATCAGGAATTATTCTAGCCGATTTTCAAGAATTTCCAAATGACCTCCCTTGTCAGTATCTTTTTGAAAAAAAAGTCTAGGAATTATATATTTTCCTGGAAAATGCTGCGTAATACAGTCTTATTCAAGCTTAAAAATGAGCTCATTTTCGAAATTTCAATATTTTCCGTATAATCTTGGTTAATTTCTCCATTTCCCCGAAAAAAAAACTGATTTTTCAAGAAATTTTTTTTTTGGGTTCAAGTTAATTCTTTTCAAAATTCTTCCTACATGGTCATTTTTTTCAACATTTTCTTCCCAAAAAGATAAAAAAAATTTTTGGCTTGAACTTGAACTTTTTTTCATGTTGGAAGTACCTGTCCTCCCTAAATTTTCAATAAAAATTCCAATTTTCCAAGCTATTTTTTGATTTTGACGCGCATTGAATAAAAACGGCTTGAATAAAAAATTCGAAAATCTTTTCCCGGAGCTGCCTGATCTAATTAAAGTGCCTAATTAATCTTCCAGGCCGGAAAAAAACACAGACAATAGACAAAGAACGCTTTGTTGTCCCCTCATTCCCTTATCTTCCTCCCATTATCATTTCCGATTTTCCATATTTAGAGAAACGCTTCTAATTTTAGTTTGTGGAGTTTGTGGGCTGTTAGAATTTTATTTTTTAAGTTCTTTTTTGCGACTAAAAATGGGCTTTCATAGGGAAAGCCGGAAGGATCCTTTGAGCGACCGTTATGAACCAAAAGGTTCCATAAATTGTTCCTAAACGGGTGACAAAAGTTGCCTTTTTACGACCTTTTTCCGTCCTTTCATCGGCCTTTATCCACCCTTTTTGGACCCTTTTAAGAAGCACAATTTTTTAAATTGGGAATAATCTTCATAGTGATTGTGTATGAACCAAAATGTGCTACAGTAATAAAATCGGAAATCATCAGTGGTCGAGACTTTCAGCACCCTTTTTGCACCCTTTTTGAACCCTTTTTGGACCCTTTTTGGACCCTTTTTTAACCCTTTTTCACCCTTTTTGCAACCTCTTTGAACCCTTTTTGGACCCTTTTTGCACCCTTTTTGAGGCTTTTTAGTTCACCAAGAAAAAAAGGCTCAATAAAGGCCGCAAAACGAAACCTTTTCAGCGGCCATTTTGCACCCGTTTTCCGCACTTCCGACTTTTGGACAGTCAATAAAAAAACAAAAAAAATAGCCATCTTGAATTTTTTTATCGCCTTTTTTTATAACCCAACTCGCTTGTGGCAAAAAAATTTTGAATTAATCCTTTGTCTAGAAAAATTTTTTTCTAATGTGTCTTTAAACTATGGAGAACCTGATAGATATGCAAAAAAAATTTTTCGATGAAACTTGAAAAAGTCATGAATATTTGGATTTTATAGCTAAATTGAAGTTTTTCGCAACCTAATTGCTAGCTTTCGTTACCGTGAATTTTCTGAAAACACCAAAAAAATCAATTTCCCAAAATAAAGAATCATTTTGCCTATGGAGCAACTTTGCTGCAAAATTTCATCTCTAATTTTTCTCTGAAAAATGGAAATTTCAGTCCAATTTTCCTGTAGACCATTTGACTAAAACTCGACAAGATTTTATTTTATTTTCTCAATTTTTCACTGTCGATGTGCCTTTAAGCTGACAAAAAATGGCTTTTCGATTGATAATTATTGATAAAGACCCTCCAAAAAAGTAGTCCCGAAAGTGGAACCATTAAAAAGGACGCGTGTTTTATTCCTGATAACGGCTTTTTTCCGTGCTCTTTGCACTTTGCTCCGAGTTTTCTGGGCATTTTTCCTGGTTTTTCACCTAAATTTCGCTGGATTACTGTAGTTTCTCTTCTGCTAATCGTGTCGAGACCATTTTCAAAAGATTTTTTGAGTGTCTGCGTCTCTCTGTTCCCTCACCGCCGAGGTCAGAGAAACACGGAAAATAGCACGTTTATATGAGATGGTCGCCGAGAGATGAGGAGGGCGCAGAGAAGCAAAACATGAACTATATCATTTCCGTGCTCTTTGCACTTTTCTCCGGGTTTTCTGAGCATTTTTCCTGGGGTTTCACCTGAAGTTTGCTGGATTACTGTAGTTTCTCTTCTGCTAATCTTGTCGAGACCATTTTCAAAAGATTTTTTGAGTGTCTGCGTCTCTCTGTTCCCTCACCGCCGAGAGGTCAGAGAAACACGAAAATAGCACGTTTAATATGAGAGGGCGCAGAGAAAAAAAAGAACTATATCATTTTTTTTGTCCAATCACCTCATGTTCAAAGCAGAAATGTTGAACATTCAGACAGGGTTTAAGATAAATCCTAAGCGGCTCAGAAAACAATTCCTTTCTTTGATAGTTCGATAGGGCGAGTTAAGCCGCACGTGTTGGAGGAAACGTGGCGGATTAGGTTACAGTTATTCTATTGACACTTTGGCCCGATGACTTTCCATTGTTGATGAAATTCACTAGGCGTATTCCAAGCTTAATATTCTCAAAAAATCTTATCTTTTTAGAGCTTTTCATTTGGTTTTCTAGGTGGCACTCAGGAAATTCAGAGTGGTCCCTATAGGGCAGAAGTTAGGGAGCCTCCAAGTGCCCTAACTTCTCCCCTATAGGGACCACTAAAGCTTTAGGAGATTCTTCCTCTTGAAACCATTTTACGCCCCCCTCCAGGGGCCACTGAAGCTTTCAAAAGTGACCCCTATAGGGGTTTCATGGCCCTCACCCCTATAGGGGCCACTCTGATGTTCCTAAGTAATTGAGGATTTTTTTTAAATTTTGAAATCGAAGTTTTTGCGTTTTCATGAGCCTCCGAGTAAATACTTTTGAAAAATGGCCTAATTTGAATTTTGTTTTTGACGAGTCCGCAATTTCGCGTGAGCGTGTTTGCACTTTTTAAGTTGTTATCAGCGAGATCACAACTCGATTTATTTTTTTTAGAGTATGGAGCTATAAAGTTCAAATAATTCCATAGAAAAATTCGATTAAAAGTTCTACGACCCCAAATTTTTTTCCTAGCAGCTTTTGAGGGCTGCAAATGTTCTTGAGAGCTGCAAAACTCATTTTTTATCGATTTTCTCGCCTCAGTCAGCTCTTTTTCTTTTTTTTAAATGCAAGTATGTTTCAGAATGCAAATCGTCAAACCGGTCCCCCTATTTTCGATACGGTCGATGCGGCTGTGGATGTGCGCCTTGATGGCCACAGGTTGGAGAAATTCTTGGCAGGAGTTCAAATTTCCAGAATTATTTGAAATCCATTCACGACGTTCCATAACGGGGTGGAAAAACGTCAAAAAAAATTTAGGCGCGAAAATTGAATTCTCAAGTACGCAGTCAAACGTGATCGAACAAACAAGTTAAAGTGGAATACTCAGTGTAATTGTGACGTAGAATGACGTCATTTTGTTCGGAGCGCACTTTTTTTTTTGTAAATTCAGAAACTTTGACGCCTCGCTCACTTTCCCTCACCCCATTAGATTCCGCATTTCAAAAAATATGTTCTCAGAATTTTATCGTTCTATAGAGTTTTGAAGCCTCGGGATTTATTATCACTGCTCTAAAACAAGTTTTTGGCAAGTTTGAAGCTTTGAAACTTGACTTGAAGGCAAAAATGTCGAAAAAATACTGCTGGGTATGGTTAAGGATGCTTTAAAGCACCTCTCAGTGAAGTTTCAGAAATTTCTTGGACCCTGAACTTTTCTAATACAATTTTGAGCGAACTATGGGTAATTCAGGCCTTCATGTATAAAGTAATTGAAATTTGAAGCTTTGAAACTTGACTTGAAGGCAAAAATGTCCAAAAAATCATGCTGGACATGGTTCTGGACGCTCAAACAATGGAAGGGCGGAAGGTCGAGGTGTTGGCATTTGATAAAACTTTGTATACAGATTTTTTCGAACATCCTGAATCCAAAGAAATCGAAAATAAAAAGTGCGCCTTTTTGTTTCTAGTCGAGTTATGGCGCCTCAAAGTTTGCACGTGAAAAATGCATTGGATGGAAGGAGGGAATGTGTTAAGGCGGCTTACTCCAGCTGCCAGCAGGCGGCGTGGTGTAGTGGCTAGCGACCTTGCTCTGTGGAACCTATGATGCAGGTTCGAATCCTTTTGGGTGCAAATTTTTTTGCCATTTTATTTTCTTGGAAATAAAGATGCGGTTTTAAAGATGAGTTGAAAAAAACGCTCCACACGTTGAAATTTACCATTTTATGTCGTTTTCAACAAGATTTCCGACAAATGCGTTTTTTGCGTGCAAACTTTGAGACGCCATAACTCGACTAGAACCAAAAAGGCGCACTTTTTTCTACTTTGGATTCAGGGTGTTCGAAAGTACCTATATAAAAAGTTTCATCGAATTCGATTTTCCGCACTTCCCGTGTGAAGTGCGCTTCAAGCATCAAAACTTGACTCAAAAGCAAAAATGTCAAAGAAAAAACCTTGACATGGTTCTGAACGCTCTAAAAAAAGCGCTTCAGCCGAATTTTTAACGAATTTTTCGAAATTTTTTTCAGAAATTTTTAAGTTATTTTTAACGTTCCAGGACTCTATGCCTCGGTAGCGATGCGGGTGAATCTCAGTATGGCCATAGTTTGTATGGTCAACTCCACAGCTTTCCCTCAACATCACTACACTCTCAATGACTCGAAAAATGCTCCTCTATCGATGCCAGAAGCCGTGGCTCAGTGCGGAGCCAGGTTTGACGACGATGTCGCATCGGCCGCTCACGCTGGGTATACGGTAAGCAAAAAAGTTCATAAAAACCAAAATGTGTACCTCCAGGGCGACTTGATGTGGAGCCCGACAATGCAGTCGATGCTCCTGTCGGCGACTTTTTACGGCGCCATTGTTACCGTAGTTTTCTCGGGATATGTCGCCGACCGGTTCGGGCCGAAGTTCATTCTTCTTGGTAATAATTCCTTTTTGCGCCGAATGAGGCCCTTAAGTGACTACTTCACGTTAATTATATATAAATGCGGCCCTTAAGTGACTACTTTCCTTCAATAATATGTGATAATGAGGCCCTTAAGTGACTACTCTACGTCAAGAATTTATATAAATGAGGCCCTTAAGCGGCTACTTCCCTTTAATAATATAAAAATGAGGCTCTTATGTGACTACTTCACGTTAATTATATATAAATGAGGCCCTTAAGTGACTACTTCAGTAAGGAATATGTGAATACGCGGCCCTTTAGTGACCGCTTCACGTTAAGAATACGTGAAAATGCGGCCCTTAAGTGACTACTTCCCATAAATAATATGAAAAGGCCCTTAAGTGACCACTTCACGTCAAGGATACTGAAAATGAGGCCCTTAAGTGACTACTTCACTTTAATCATAAATAACAATGAGGCCCTTAAGTGACAACCTTCACGTAAATATTATGTGATAATACGGCCCTTAAGTGACTACTCTACGTCAAGAATATATAAAAATGCGACCCTTAAGTGACCACTTTAAGTAAAGAATATGTGAAAATGCGGCCCTTAAGGGATCACTTCACGTTTAGAATGTGTAAAAGTTCGGCCCTTAAGTGACTACTTTACGTTAATAATATAAATAGAAGGCCTTTAAGCGACTACTTGATTTATAAAATTCGATCATTTTCTAGCGGCAACTTTGGTCTACGTGATCGTGACCCTCCTGACTCCCTGGCTGGCCCGTTATTCCTACCAAATGCTCTTCGTCGCCCGCATCTTTATGGGTTTCGGAGAGGTACTGTAGCCGTCATTCAGCTGTGTCAAAGTGACAACTCTAGGGCTTCATTTTTCCGAGTCTTGGCTCGTTGGCGGGCCGCTGGTTCGCCCCCACTGAAAGGTCCACTGCCGCCGCACTTTACAGCTCCGGAAATCAGGTTCTTTTCCCGGATAGTCCAATCGTTTCAATGTCCCTTTTCTTGTCTCAAGATCGGCTCCGGCCTGACATCGCTTATCGCTTCGTTACTTTGCGCCAGCACGTTTGGTTGGCCTTCGATTTTCTACAGCTTTGGCTTGATCAGCTTGGCCTGGTGCATTGGTGCGATGGGTTTTGTGCGCTCCAATGAGAAACGTTTGTAGTTTGGTGGATCTTCGCCTCGAATTTCCCCTCCTCGAATCGATGGATTTCACAGGAGGAGGTCGATTTCCTGACGGCCAATGTCGGCGGCCAGAAGAAGGGACAGGTAAAAAATCATTTGGTCGCATTTGGAATGGCTTAGGCGCGTTTTTTTGATACAAAGGAACTTCTATATGCTAGAAAAGGTCGCATTTGGAATGGCTCAACAAGCGTTGCGGTCGCGTCGCGGTTAGAATTAGATTTTCGAATTTTCCCCTCCGAACTTCAAATGAGACAGGTAGATGTATTTTTGACGCTGATTTTGAATCTGTTCTCAAAAATCGGCAGGAAAGTCTTTGAAAAAAGTTCTAGCCCCCCAATTATTGAATATTTTGAGGGGGAACTCCTATAAGGGTCGGAAAAGTGGTCCCTATAGGGGTGAAATCAGGGTGGTCCCTGTAAGAGCTTAGGGTCTGACCCCTTCGCCCCTAAATCTCAAGTGGACCCTACAGGGGTCTTTCACTCAAAAAACGCTTATTCCATCAGTTTTTCCCATTGAAATGCTTGTTCGCTTAGAGTTCATGAAAATTATCGACTAGAATGTCCCCTATAGGGACCACTTTCGCAAGATTTAGAAGTCCCTATAGGGGTCGGTAGTGGTACAGAGAGGGGACATTCTAGTCGATAATTTTCATGAACTCTAAGCGAACAATAAGCGTTTTTTGAGTAAAAGACCCCTGTAGGGTCCACTTGAGATTTAGGGGCGAAGAAGTCAGACCCTAAGCTCCCACAGGGACCACCCTGATTTCACCCCTATAGGGACCACTTTTTCGGCCCTTAAAGAGGTTCCCCCCACTTTCGCAAGATTTAGAAGTCCCTATAGGGGTCGATAGTGGTACAGAGAGGGGAACCTTCGAGGGCTTTAAGGTTGCCCCTATAGGGACCACTCTGGAGTTTCTATGCCGCTTTTTTTCTGACCGAAATACCGTATGCCTTTAGATTATATCTTTCAAAGCGAGGGGCTAAAAAAGGCAAGTCTTGAAGATTAAAAAAGTCATCAGGCCTTGGTTACGAGAACCGGACGTTTCTGAGCAATTCTAGGGACCACTTAAGAGCCCTGACGCGACTAAAGTGGTCACTAGAAGTCCGAGGCGATTTTTCCAACTACAAAAGGGAGAAGTTTTAAAATACTTCAATTTTCCAGGACATGGGACGAGTCCCGTGGCGCCAACTTCTCACGAGTCTACCCCTTTGGGTGGCCGTAATGTGCCAGTTCACTTACACCCTACAAACTGGAATCATGCAGTCATTTTTGCCGACTTACCTGAAGGACGACCTCGTCTTGCCGCTGAGCAGTGTTAGTGACAAAAATAAATGTAAAATGCTAAAAATTAGTCGTAAAAAAATTCAAAAAAATCTTCTAGGAAAAAGCCATGATTTTTCAAAATCTTGAAGGTTAGGATTATTGTGAATTTTTTTCCCAAAAATTCAGAATTCTAATGGCAGGAAATCACCATTCAGGAACAAGATTTGATAGAAGCTAGTGGAAAATTAAAATTTAGGACGGAAAAAAAGTTTGTACTCATAGAAAAAAAGCTTGATTTTTTCGGAATCTGGAAGGTTAGGATGCTTGTGCAAATTATTTAAGGAGAAAATATTTAAAAAAAAATCCTCAGGAACAAAACTACAATGGAACTATCCCAAAGAAGCAAAATTAAAGAAAAGAAAAGATCAAAAAATTTCAAAACTGAAAAGTTCTATACCTTGAAGGAGGCTCAATATAGAAAAAAACACCGAACTGTTCAAAAAAATTTTTTTATTGACTCAAAAAAAGCTTTTTTTGTAGCATTTAAAGGCGCATTAAAAACATTTAAAAAGGTCTTGAGACGAAAAATCTTTTCAGAAGGAAAAACCAACAAGAACAAGACTTGTTAGGAATTATCCCGAAAAGATTGTTGAAAATTAAAATTTTCGGACAAAAGCTCAGAAAATTTTGGAATCGAAATTTCTCTTCCATGAATAAAAACCTAATAAAAAAATCATATCAAAAAGTATTTTTTTACTCGACAAATCGCCAAAATGACAGTTTTTAAGTGACTCTAAACGGCTTTTTGTATCGTTTAAAGGCGCATAGATAAAATGCAAAAAGGGTCTCGAAACGAAATTTTTTTTCCAGAGAATGAATCGATGTTATATTCGTTATATTTCTAGAAAGGGTCTCAATAAAAAAATCTTCTGAACAAAAATATTTTTTTGATCAAAAATTTGTCAAATGTTTCAAGGGACTCTAATTAGCTTATTGTTGCGTTTAAAGGCGCATAGATAGAATTCAAAAAGGGTCTCGAGACGAAAAATTTTTTTCAGAGTTGAAAAGAGATGCTCCATTGAAGTTATAGTCCGATTATGATAAATTTTGAAAAAATAGAAAATTGCCCCTTTCAGAACGGAATCTACACAATGGTGCCGTTCCTGGCCCAGTTGATTTCCAAGAATATTCTCGGAATCGTCGCGGATTACATGAAGAGAAACAAAATCATGGGCTACACGGCGACGACCAAAATGTTCCAGGCCATCGGTTTTTCATTTCAAAAAAAAAAAATGATTACGGTAAATTTAGGCTCCTACGGTAGCGCACTGTGTCTATTCGGGATGGTATTTTTTTCACAAGTTGCGAAAATCCGACGCGCGCCCTTTTTCTTCTTGGCCATTTATGGTAAAAACCCCGCCCCCCTCCCCTGAGTAAATTTTTTTCATTTTTTTAGGCGTCGTTTTTTCGGCGGGCATCTGCGGATTTTTCACGAGTGTCCTGTGCATCGCCCCGCCCTACAGCGGAATCCTCACCTCGATTGCTCAGATTATGGCCGTGTGTGGGAACCTGACCGGGCCGCTCCTCGTCAGCTTCATCCAGAAGACGGTCGGTGGAGAAATCTGCAAAAAAAAATAGGAATATCAGGATTGTTTTTGAACTTGTCCAGGTAATTCAAAGATAATTATTTCATCAATGGAAACAGACCTGGGGAACTACAGGAAACTGATAAAATTTCATGGGGCCTTTTTGAAAAAATATATACTCCACGCCGTTTTTGTTATTGGAAGAAAATTCAAAACCAAAAATGAAGGGGGCGGAGCTAAAACTCCGCCGTTCCCATGTGACGTCATGGGATTATTAAAGACGCATGTTCAAGGGGTCTTGAGAAGAATCAATTTTTCATTGGAAAAAGCGGAACTTGAAGTGACTACGCGAAATTCAAAATAGCCGCCAGGGAGTGAAAAATATAACTGAATTTCAGAATTTCAGAAATTCAGAGATTTTTGAATTTATCGAAATGTATTTTGAATACGGTATGTGCGAGAGCGCCGCGGTGCATGCACACGACACACTACACTTTACGGAAAAAATATGGGCGGGCATCAAAAAAAAAAAACCCCCGTGACTCCTTTTCGCGATTTGAAACTTCTTTTTTTTTCTCTGCGACCCTCTCACAGCGATGTGCTATTTTCATCTTTTGACCTCGCCGCTGAGGGAACAGAGAGACGCAGACAGGCAGAAAGTTTCAAATCGCGGCCAACCACGGCGTTTTTGGTAGTGGAAGAAAAGGCGGAACCGAAAATGTAGGGGCAGAGCCAAAACTCTGCCGTTCTCATGTGACGTCATGGGAAACAAGCGTGAAAACAAGGCATATTAAAGGCGCATGTTCAATGGGTCATGAGACGAATCGATTAAATATGGGCGGGGCGTAATCAAAAAACGCCGTGACTCCGTTTTTCTAACAGAGAGACGCAGACAAGCAGAACGTTTCAAATTTGTTAAAACTCGAGATTTTTCACTTAGAAATTTATCACAATACTTGGAAAAAAACTCGGAATGCGATAAAAAATCGTCGAAAGGGACCAGCTTCAAAAAATGTGAAAAACGATTAAAAAATCAATTTCCAGGGTTTCCTCATCGAATACAAATGGTCGATGGTTTTCCTTTTCTGCGCCCTGAGCAACATTTTCAGTGGAACGCTTTTCGTTCTTTTCGGCTCTGGTCCGTTTTTTCCCTAATTCCTATTGAAATATCGATTTTTTCCAGCAAACGCCCAAGAATGGGCCAAGCCGGAGAAGCAGATTCTCGAGGAGAGATTGAGACTCAACGCGGATTCCTCCAAAGAATCCTCAATCGACGAAAAACCTACCAAGAAAAATTCAATCATCTTTATTAAGGCCTAAATTTGGATATCTTCCTTATTTTGACCTTTTTTCTCACTTTCTAATGTTTGAACACCTATTCTAACTCAATAATTTCCATTTTTTAATATTTTCCTCATTTTTAATATTTTTTTTTTAAATATTCCCGGGTCCACATTGCTTACTAACATACTTCATGTGTTTATATAGTTTCTCAGATCTCCCTGTCATTTTTCCCCCATGTATTTTTTAGTCATCTTTGGTACCCTGAAACTGGAAATTAGTTACTGGTTAACAATCCAATTTCCTTCACTTATTAGTCAGTCCAGAGCTTTATCCTTACAATGTATATATTCATATTTCGTGTGATTTATTCAGTTTCCTCGGGTCTTTATACTCTTAGAATTGCAATAAAGGTTTTCAAAATGTACAGATTTGATGTAAAAAGACCATTTTTATAGTTCTACAGGTTGATTTTTTACTTCAATTTCAAGTTTAAAGCCTAAGAAATTTTTCATGCAAATGCAAATCCTTCAAAAAAATTTTTGAAACGGTCAAAATTCAGTGTTAAGAACATGATTCCCGCAAAACTTTCCCTTTTTTTAAACAGAAAGTTGGTTTCATTTTTAAACTCAACAAAAAAATTCGATTGAATTTACAAAGCAAAAATAGGGAGAAAACTTACAAAAAAATAAATTGAAAAAATTTTCCAGCAAAATTCGAAATTAAAGGGCAAGCGCGCCCCAACGCGAAGAACCGAATACGGTTGCGAGAAGAAAATTTTTATTATTTTTTTTCCTTTTTAAAGCTTTTGTGATGTTTATCCATTGTTTATGAAATTTTTTGAGATTCTTGCTGCGTTTCTAAAGTGTATGGGCTAAATAAAATAGAATATTGAGACAAAAAACCGTTTTATGTGTTTTTTTATGTCTTGCATAATTTTTGCGTTTTTTAAACACCGAAAGGATTCTTAAGAAATATATACATGTTAAACAGCATCAAAAACTTAAAATCGAATAATTTTTCGTAACTTTGAGTCTGTTTCTATTTCCAGATGGCCACAGATCACACTTTTCCGATAACGAAGTATACTAACATCAAGACAAATGCAGTCATTGTAAGTTCTAAAATGAATATTTTCGTAACAAATTGAACATTTCCAGTTCTCCAACTCGATGGCGTTGAAATTCAATCAAAATTTTGGGATTTTACGAGTTCAAAATGAAGGAATCGAGGTGGAGCGCGTAGTTTTCACGAAGGGATCTCCGATTCTCAAGTGATTCCGTGTAAATCAATATTTTAATCAAAATAAGCTTTCAGGATTAGACAAGAAGCACTTTTGGTGTTGAAAAACGCCGAATTTGACGGTTTTCGTGTCAGATTTGCGGCGCCAGACGTTCGATCTCGTTTTTCGGAGATCGTGTCGAAATTTATCACCATTAGTGATGAGAATAATGTTGCTTCCTTTTGTTGAAAAAAATATTATTTTTTTAGGTGAATCGACAAGAAAACCGGTCGAAATCCAATCCAGGTGAGAAAAAAATTTTTAAAAAAATTGACTTTTTTTCACAAGTTTTTAAAACGCGAACAGTTTCCACGGGCAATTATTCAAAGAAGCTATTTTTTTGTAATTTTTTTCAAGGCTTTTTTTCGAGAAATTTGACGTGAGAACCTTGTTTCTGGAAAAAAATATTAAAATGTTAATTTTTTTGTTTTTTTAAAAAAACTTTTTGTAGCAATCTTCTAGTTTTTTTATTAAAATCGTGAATGAGTTCAAACTACACGTATTTTTAAATCATACAATTTGTTAGTCGGCGTCGCGACGTCGCGCGCGATTTCGCGCTGTCTTCCAAACTTGTCAGAATGCTCTCCACACGCTTTCCAGACATGCAAATTCTCGAAAAAGACATAATTTTTAAGCAGATAATCAAGCAAAACTGTAGAAAAACTCAAAAAAATAACGCAAAAATAAGGCCCTCAAAAATCGTATTTGGCCAAACAGAAATTTTCCAACAAATAATTTTTTTTTGGTGTAGTTTTTTTCGAAATGGAAATTGAAAATCAGAATTTTCGGATTCAGCGCGAAAAATTTACTCAAAAAAATCGCTTTCGAATTTAAAAAAAATTCATTTTTTTCAAAAAAATTACTTCATTTATTTTTTTCGTCTTAATAGTGTTATAACTTTGTTCTTTTCGCGAATTATTCGACAAAACTTGTATTTTTTTGAATTTAGCGAAAAAAATTCTGAACAAGAAACTGTTCACCGAACTTCGGAAAAGTCAAAAATAACGATTTTCAATTTTCTAAAAATGATTATTTGGACCAGCCCAACTTAATACCTCAAATTCCAAACTCCGGAAAAAAATATAAATAATATTCTTTGATTTTGATGAAACTTCATCCAGTGTGATAACCCATCATTAAAAGTGCGGCCACAACTTTTTGAGCCATTCCCTCTTACTGTAGCCGGGTTACGGTAGAAGCTGCATATCTAAGAATCGACGAGTTTTCACTAGGCAAGGTGTATATCAATCGATAGGTGATAAAATTTTAGGAATTTTTTCAGTACATACCATCTAGGGTTACTGTAGGAATTTTTGAGATACGGTATTTTTTGTGTAGCGATGTTGGTTTTTTGGTCATCCTGTTCACAATAGTGACCAGAAAATACTGAAAAAACTGTAAAAACCAATAAAAATCAAGGTTTACAGAAATTTCTTATGAAATGCTGAACTGAATCTTAGATTTATAGTGGTCCAATCGAGTATTGGCAAATGGCCGTGCGTTTTTTGCGGTCTTTCCGCGGCTTCGGCGAGCATCCAATGCAGCCGATGCCGGAAATGGGTCCATCGGAAGCAAATCTGCAGCAATTTGTCGCTTCGCGATAGATACGACCGGGAAACCTACAGATGCCGCGGCTGTTCCCGCCCTGCGTCTGCGTTGCCACCTCCTGGTGATTATTGCTCATGTTAAACTAAATTCTGCTCAGAATTTGAATATAATGACGTCATTAAAAAACCCTCCGCTCTCTGATTGGCTTGTCGCGCCCTTTTTAGTAGTTCCAGAGTGGTCCCTATAGTGGAAACCTTAGGGCCCTGGGGGCCTCTCTAGGGAACACTTCACCGACCCCTATAGGGGCCACTAAGGTCCCTATAGGGACACGCTAGTCGAAATTTGTTATGAACTCTAAGCGAAGAACCATTTCCATAGGAAAAACTGAATAAATAGGCGTTTTTGAATGGAATTAAAAGATCCCTATAGGGCCCACTTGAGCTTTTAGGGCTAAGGGGGGTGGTCAGAACCTAAACCCCTATAGGGACCACTTTTTCGACTCCTATAGGGACCACTTGAGCTTTTAGGGCTAAGGGGGTGGTCCGAACCTAAACCCCTATAGAGACCCCTTTTTCGACTCCTATAGGGACCACTCGAGCTTTTAGGGCTAAGGGGGGTGGTCAGAACCTAAACCCCTTTAGGGACCCCTTTTTCGACCCCTAGAGAGGTTGTTCCACCCTTCGAGGGGTCGAAAAAGTGTTCAAACGGTTCAAAAGTCTTCAATATTTCAGAAAATATGAGAAAAAAAAAATTCATTTCTAGAACAACCGGCAGTTCACGACGTCTATGCGGAAGCCAGACATAATATGGAGGTTTCGTAAACCCAAAAAAAATACATAAGTTTACGGTTTCAGCCATTTTCCCAGTCGTCTTATGAGCCTGAATCTTCTGGCCTGAGCGCCTTCTCAATGTCGCAGAAGACGACCGATTCTCGGCTCGACGACGTCTTTTCTCAGCCTTTTTCTCAAGTTTATGAGATCCTTTGCTTCAAATATAGTTTTTTTAGAAGAAAAAAATTTATTTTTTTGTGATTTTTTTCCATGTCAGAAAAATTGTAAAGAAAGGGGTGAAATTCGGTTTTTTTAAGAGCAGAAAACTTGGAAAATATTCATAGGCAATGTCGGAAGGACCCTTTTGGGGCCCTTTGAGCGACTATGGATCAATTGTTCCTAAACGGGTGACAACGGTTTCCTTTTTACTGCCTTTTTCCGTCCTTTCGTCGGCCTTTATCCACCCTTTTTGAACCCTATTTAGACCCTTTCTGGAACCTTTAGAGCAACACAAAGTTCTATAAATTGAGAATAATTTTTACCAGTGACTGTGTATGAACCAAAATGTGCTACCGTAATAAAATCGGAAATCATCAATGGCCGAGACTTTCAGCACCCTTTTTGCACCCTTTTTTAGCCCACCATGGAAGAAAGGCTTGAGATAGACCGCAAAACGGAACCCTTTTAGCGGCCATTTTGCAGTCACTCCCTTTTCGCACTTGCGAATTTGGTAGTGTTGTTCCTAGTATGCTTTTTTCGATGAATGGTGGAAAAATAAATCATCAAACTTAAGAAAGTTTTTTTCATTATTATCAAAGTAGTTGGGAATCTTCATTTTATTGTTTACCGGATGAAACAGATTTGTGCTGTAGTTTCGTATTGATCGTCAAATCCTTCAAAATAAAGTTTTTATTCAAGCTGGAAAACGTCTAGGATAGATCGAAAAATTTCCGGTTTAAAAGTTTGGCTAAACCAGTTAAAAAAGACTGGAATTTAACTTTAAAAAAATCGAAAATATATAAGTTATATTTTTTTCTCAAATTAAAAATGGTTGTTCTCGCAGTGTTTTTTAGTGAAAATCGGTCTGGAAAAGACGGTTTTTTTTTAATTCGATAAACTCGGGCAAAGCCGGAATGGTAGATAATGGCCGCTAAAAGAGAGAGGCTCAAAAAAGGTTACAAGAAAGCAGCAAAAACGCCGCAAAAACGCAGCAAAAAGCTCCCAAAAAGGTCGCAAAAAGGGTCCCACTATCGAGTCTCCCATTTTTTCTGACTTTGAAGGATCAAGAAGTAGTGGAAAAAGGGAGAGGCAGCAAAAATGGTGCGAAAAAGCCGATGAAATGGCCCAAAAAGGTAGCAAAAAGGGAACATTTCTATGTAGCCTTTTTTTCCAACTTTTTCTGACTTTGCCTGAACCGTAAAAAAAGAAGTAGATAATTTAAAATACAACTTAGCTACCGAAAATGCTCATTTTGTATCAAACTTCTATCAAAATCCTTCAAAAAAATGAAAAAATTGGGGGTTTTGAAACGGAATAATTCGTTTCCAGCAAGAACTGCCCTTCTCCCAGTCTTCCCGCTTCTCCGAGCCCGTTATTCGCCCGGAAAAGCCCGTTTCCGAGGCTCCTTTCTATTTCACCCAACCGGCTAATGTTCCTGAGGCTGTTCTGGAGGTATCAAAACTTATGAAATTCACTCAAAAAAAGGTTTTTTTTAGATATCAAAGGTAGAAACCACAGAAATCGGGTGTCAAACCGACGGTTTTATGGAAGTCATGCGGAGGAATCCGTTGGATCAAGTGGAATATCTCAGAAAATTGGTAGAATATCAAAATTTTGAACTTGAGTGGTCATTTAAGTGAATATTGGATATGTAGAGCTAAAAAAAACACTAGGAAAAGTTCCTATAGAGGCGACTTAAGGGGCCTTGGGATGGTCTCCCCTAGGGACCACTTTATCGACCCCTCCAGGGATCACTAAAGCTTGCAAAAGTCCATGGAAAAAGTGAATAAATGAGCGTTTTTTGAGTGACCCCTGTAGAGTCCACTTGAGCTTTAGAGACTAAGAGGTCAGCGACTAAACCCCTATAGGGACCACCTTAATTTTAGCCCTCTAGGGACCACTTCTTCTGCCCCTATAGGGGTCGTTTTCCCCCTAAACCTTCGGGGGAACACTCCGTAAGGGCCCCTATAGGGTCCACTTGAGCTTTGGGTGTTAGACCCTAAATCCCTACTGGGACCACCTTAATTTCACCCCTCTAGAGACCACTTTTTCGGTCCCTAAAGTGATTGTTTTCCCCCTAAACCCTAGAGGGACCACTCTGGAATTCCTAAGGTTCTTCGAAAAATACTCCAAGTGATCACTTGATTTTCCCTCGGAAAGTGAAAGAATTTCTCTTAAGTGATCACTTGGCACATTTTGAGTGTTCCTTACACTAGCTCACTATGTAGAAAAACTCATTTTTAGTGGCTCTTCGTATAAAATTTAAAAAAATCTCTTTAAGTGACCCCTCAGCGCATTTTAAAATATCCCCTTAAGTGCCTACTTTTAGCTAGCCAATCCGAAATTCATCGAATCCGTGATCGCTATGAAAACCCAACTGGAAGACATGCCGATCGAATCTTTGCATTTTCAGAAGGTAGAAAGGCCGCATTTGGAATGGCTCGAGTCGTTTTTGGTGGGGCGCAACTGCGAGCCATTCCGAATGCGACCAGTTGCGGCCGACCAAAAACGACTCGAGCCATTCCAAAGGCGACCTTGGACTTCTGAATACAATTTTCCTTCTAGAAACTTTTCAAAGACGATCTCCAAGTTGAGAATTTCGAGTTCCAGCTTCAAGAACTTGACACAAAACCGGTAAATCTGAACATTTTTGGAAAAATCAAAAAAAAAAAATTCTTTTTCAGCTCCTTCAAGAGCCTTCGAAGGTGAATGAAAAGGTGAGAAGAAAATAGAATTTTTAAGATTTTCATATTTTTTCAGAAAGCCTCAATCCAGAAGAAGCCATCGATTGGGAAACGCGTAAGTTTGAAAAAAAAAACCATTTTTCAGAGAAAAATTCAAATTTTCAGCCTTCTTCCACTCCGACCCGCAGGAACGAGAAGCGACATGCTAAGGAGGTTTTTGGAAATGAGAAAGTGGTAACTTAAGGGATGTCAGTTCGAAGTGGTCACTTAAGAGATGATAATTTTGACGGTTTCAAAGAAAGTGGGAAAAGTGAAGAAATCCTTCAAGTGATCACTTCAAGCGCTTTATGTCGCCCCTTAAGTGATCACTTCAAGCGACTTATGTAGCCCCCTCACTTCAAGTTTTTCGAAATGAGAAAGTGTTGAACTTAATTTTATGAAAAAGTGGTCACTTGAGGGATTAATGTGATCATTTTGACGGTTTCAAAGAAAAATGGGAAACGGGAAAAAGTCTCTCAAGTGATCACTTCAAGCGCTTTATGTAGCCCCTTAAGAGATCACTTGAAGCGCTTTATATAGACCCTTAGGTGATCACTTCAAACGCTTTATGTAGCCCCTAAAGTGATCCCTCAAGGCGCTTTATTAATCCTCTCAAGTGATCACTTCAAGCGCTTCATGTAGCCCCTAAAGTTATCACTTTAAGCGCTTCATGTAGTCCCTCAAGTGATCACTTTAAGCGCTTTATGCAGCCCCTCAAGTGATCACTTGAATCGGTTTATTTAGTCCCTTAGGTGATCGCTTAAGGTGCTTTATCTAGCCCCTAAAGTGATCACTTCAAGCGCTTTCTCTAGCCGCTTAAGTGATCACTTCAAGCGCTTCATGTAGCCCCTAAAGTGATCACTTCAAGCGCTTTCTCTAGCTCCTTAAGTGATCACTTCAAGCGCTTTATCTAGCCCCTAAAGTGATCACTTCAATCGCTTTCTCTAGCTCCTAAAGTGATCACTTCAAGCGCTTTATGTAGCCCCTAAAGAGATCACTTCAAGCGCTTTATGTAGCCCCTTAAGTGATCACTTTAGGGCTTTATGTAGACCCTTAAGTGATCACCTTAAAGAGCTTTATGTAGTCTTTTATGTATGAGTAAGATCTATTATTCCTTAAAGGATCACTTGAGACTTGTTAGAACCTTCCAAGCTTTGAAGCAATTTGAAGTAGTAACTCAAGAGTTTTTAGTTGAAGTGGCCACTTAAAGGAAATTCTGAGAGTCAACTTAAGGGTAAATTTTGACTGGTCGTTTAAAATATCCTCTACGATTGCATTTGAAAAGTTCAAAGCTGAGTAATGTGTAAATTTGAATCCGTTAAAGGATCACTTGGCTCCTTTTCAAGCCAAAAAAAATGTGAATGTGACGATTTTTCAGGGCATCAACTACAAGGAGCCTTCAATTTATCAAAAATTTAACCTCTGAAATTTTTTCAACCTGTAAATCTTACTGTTATATTTTCCATATTGTTATGAATTTTGAACTTTTTGCAAATGAATAAATTTGAATTTCCCGATGAAAAGTCCACTGGGAAAAGAGCGAAAAAGGTGCATTTTTTGCCCCGGAGAGCGACGGGAAATGCGAACTTTTATTTAGAATAGGAAATCAGCCTCTCATTTGCATTGTCGTCGTCGTTGTCAAGGCGCAAAAATTCCATTTTTCTCCTCATTTTTTCTCTTTTTTTTGTTGAAAATTCCAAAAATAGTTAGCAAGAAAATTAGCCGTGGGGCGAGAAAACAATTTAAAGATGGGGCTATTTGTTCCGCCTTCAGCTTTACGAGTTTTCTTTGAACCTTTTCATTTTCTTTTTCTTTTTTTAAGTTGGAGAAAGTTTTTCCTTTTTTTACATTCTTATAATTTGCTCGGGAACCCCTGATTCAGATAGAATTTCAAATAAAATTTTTTTCGAAGCTAAAAAATCGATTCAAAGTGGAAATTAGAAAAAGTAGGAAAAATCGTTGCGGGACCCGAAAAACAATTTTTTTTTCCCGACTAAAAATGCAGGAACTAAAAAATTTCATTAATAATTCAGACGTGTAAAAAAGTCTGCACTTGAGGTTCGGATTTCATTTTCAACCATTTTAATATTCCGCCTTTTCTGGTTTTTCGGATTTTGCGCTTGTAAAAAGGTTCAAAATCAATATTTTGGCTGAAAAGCTAGCATTTCTTTCAAATTTGGTCTTCTTAAAACATTATTCTTGATTTTCATTCGGCGGAGGGCAGAATAACGGGAAAAATTTCTACTTTTAAAGATGAAACAAGCCGAAAAATTTACTTTTTTTCCAAGAGATTTTTTTGAAAATTTTTCTCCGTCTTAGCTAAAAAAATAATGGTTAAATAAATCATATCCATGAAATTTCGTTTCTTTTTTAATTCACTTGGAAAAAGTCTAGTCCTAAAAAAGAAATAGCTTAAAAATATTAAAGCTGCAGGTCCGTTTTTCAGAGATTAATCTCGTTCAAATCCACATTTTTAGGCCATTTTTCCATCTTTATTTTTTTTTATCAGTCCAGAAAAAAGATATTAATTCAAAGGGCTAAAACTATAAGTCTTCGTTTTCAAAATTTTCTAATTTTAGTTGGGAATCTCAAGATCCATTTTCACGTGCGAAATCCAAAAGTCTTCAAAAGGCCTTAAAAAGGAGCTTTAGGTCCTTTTAAGGTCCTTTTCAAAAAGGACCTAAAGCTCCTTTTTGAGTTCCAAAAAGGTGCCAAAAGTTTCTCGAAATCTCCTGTTTTCCGCTTTCTTTTTTTACGCCTCCTTAAAAGGTCCTTTCCAGAGAAAGGTCTAGAAGAAAGGCGTCTTTGAGGCCTTTTAAAGGCCTTTTTTTCCAAAAGTCCTTTTTGAGACCTTTTGGACTTTGCCCGTGCCTGATTGATTTTTCATAAGATCCACACGTCTGAAGCCATTTTTTTATATCTTAAATTTCGTTGATTCTCGAATTTTAGTCGCAAGAAAAAAAGTTTCGAGTGGCTTCCATCGCGTGTTCATCGACAATGGGACGTCGGATCGTCGCGTGACGGGCCAAAAATTGGAGAATTTTTGAGGTCCCGGGCTATTGTCTCATTTTCCTACTAGCTCTGGTGGTAGTAGTAGTTTTTCTAGAGTCATTTTTTCGATATAAAAATTAGTTTAAAAATTTTCCTGTAAGTCGTTTAGAGCTAGTAGTAGTACTGGTTCTCTTTAAAAATTGTTTTTTCATTAGAAAAATGTAAATATTTCACAAAAATCTCGTTTCTAGATTTCTTTTTGAGACCCCTAGAGCTATAAAAAAATTTAAAAAAATCATTTTTTTCATTTTTGATTTTTTTCGGAAAAAAATAAGGCAGACAAGGCTCAAAACGTGTCCTAATCTTTTAATTTCTACCAAAATTTCCTTTTTAAATCTTTTTAAAGTTAAGATTTCCCAGGTATCCTCACTGAAAACTGAAAAAAACGCGGGTTTTTTTCAAGAAAAACGAGAGATCAAGTTCGCCTGAAGAGGCGCCAGAGAACGAGAGAAACTCTCGCTCTCTGGGGTTTCTTCAGGCCGTCGTTGATCTCTCGCTTCCTTTTCAAAACCATTTTTTCAGGTTTTCCAGTTCTCCCTGTGCCAATCTTCTACGCCAAACTTCAAAAAATCTTCATCATGGTAACAAATTTTTATTAAATTTTTTTTTGCGTCTTGAAGCGATTATATTTAGCCCTGCGCCTTTAAATACGTTTTCGGCGACTACACTATAATTATCTCGAAAGTCGTAGAAGAGCCAAAAGTACACGTAGTTTGAACAAAACGTGCCTACTAACTACAAACAATTCTTCTTTTTTTGGCTCATTTTTTCCAAGCTTCCTTTTGCGCACCTTTTCTAAACTATTGATCTTAACTATACACTATATGAAAACTTATAAACCTTACTTACCAATCCTTTTCTTTAAAAATAAAAATTCAGCGATCGTGCAAGGTGTGTCAATAATTATGACGCAGTCCGTTTTTTTCAAGTATTTCGAGTTTAAAAAAACACATTTTTTACTGGAAATTTTTGATAGAAAATGTTTTTCAAAAATGTATAATTACAGTTGAAAAATTTATATCGACTCATTTTTCAGGAAAAAGACCAGGTGCGACGAAAAACGATAAAAATGAGGTCCACGTCAATAATTATGACGCAGTTTATTTTTTTCGTGTATTTGAGTTTTCAAAACATTATTTTACTGGAGTAAAATAATGTAAATAATGTTTTGAATAGTTCATAAATTTGATTGAAGTTTTTTTACAAACCATGAAAAAAGGCCAGGTGTGAAAAAAACGAAAAAAAAATGAAGTCTGAGTCAATAATTATGACGCAGGGGTGTATAATTTGAATCCCATTAAGTTCCGATCAAAAACCAAGCTCTTTTTACTTTTTCATCAGGGAATTTTTGTTGTTTTTTTCTAATAGTTATTGATTTATAATTTGAATTTTTTTGCAATTCGATCAATCTATTATTTTTTTGTCTTTAAAAAAATCAAGTTTTTTTCACGAGAAAACTTATGAAAAAGCAGTATTTTTGATGTTTTTTTGAACTTTTAAAAATTATTCAGACCCTTTGAAATTTCCTGTATGTCATACTTACATTCCTTTTTCCTTTTAAAATCTAAAAATTTGAAAAAAAGATAATTCAAAAAAATTTTTTCTACTAAAAAGTCGATGAATTTCAAAAAAAACTCCTCAAAAATCGATGGAAAATTCAAAAAAATTTTTCCACTCAAAAAGTCAATGAAAACTACTACTCTCAACGACTTTTTCTGCTCTTTTTTTCGCAATTTCGAGTTCATTTACTGCAACTTCTCGAAAAAAAGGCGGACAGAACAACGGGGGAGAAAAACGGGCGCTAATTGTCGCTTGTTCTTTTTTTCCTTTGCGTCTGTTGCCGCTTTTTTTCGGTCGAATCAAGTTTAGCCATGAAGTTTTTGTCACTATTTCGTTATTTTTTTCTTTGAAAAAAATCGAAAAAAATGTGTTTATGAAGCAAAAAAATCAATCGGAATAACCCCGAAAAAAACGTAAAATTTTGAAAAAAAGACGGTGGAAAAAAATCGTTATTTTTTTCGATTTTGTGGTCGCATTTGGAATGGCTCGAAGCGTTGCGGACACGTCGCGGTTCCATTTTTTTGGATTCAGTAGTCAATTTTAAGTCCATAAAGAGTTGAAAAAATAACAAAATTCAATACTTTGTCCTGAAGATTTTTGAGGATTTTTTTCCACTATTTCCTTTCCCAATATGTTTCGGTCGCATTTGGAATGGCTCGAAGCGTTGCGGACGCGTTGCGGTTTCATTCTTGGAATTTATAGTCAATTTTAAGTTCAGAAAGAGTTGTAAAAGTTTGAAAATTTCCAATTTTTTTGAAGATTTTGTGCATTTTTCCACTATTCTCTTTGCTAAATATTTTGTGGTCGCATTTGGAATGGCTTGCTGCGTTGCGGACGCGTCGCGGTTTCAATTTTGAAAAGGATAGTCAATTTTAAGTTCAGAAAGAGTTGTAAAAACTTGAAAATTTCCAATTTTTTCCCTGAAGGTTTCGAGGTATCCGCTTTCCAAAAAGTTAAAGTATTCATTTTTTATATCTCGAAATAAATCATTCCAAAAATTCGAACGCATATCGAACGGCAATTTTCCGCGAATATTATAAATAACTCAATTTCTCGCTGTCGTTTTCAATTGCCATAATATGTCTTTTTGGCGATTTTTCTCCATTTTTCCTTTTTTCAAAAAAATTTTTTTTGAATAGAAACCGGATGTTTTTCGGGTTCAACAAGTCGTTGACTAGGTTCTCAAATAGATTATATAATAATCGCACTTGGAATAGCTCAAAGCGGCGATCATGACGATGAACCCGACCGAAAACGGCTTGCGCGCGACGTTATTCGGTCACTTGGAATAGTAAATCGAGCCATTCCAAATGCGGCCACAAGCTTCCTTTTTCATGCTCGGAAGAAAAATCATATCATTCGTGATCATTTAAAAGACTCTGACTCGTCTGCACCCTCTAGCTCACTCGCCGATGAGAGAAAAGAGAGCGCAGACAAGTCAGAGGCCTTTTTTATACTTTCAATGTTCCGATTAGATAGGATTTTGCTGGGTATTGAAAATCAAGCTTGCCTTCAACCGAATGACTCTGATTTCTCTGCACTCTCTTTCCTCCTCGTAACTCTAACTAGCCTCCTCCGGTGAGAGAAAAGAGGGCACAGGCAAGTCAGAGACCTTTTCAAGTCTTGGCGAATGTAGTATCAGACCCTTCAGACCGGATTAAAGAAGTCCTTGTTGATCCAGCTGACAGCGGAATGACTTCACTTTCTCTACACCCTCTTTCCTCCTGGCAACTCTAACAAGGCTCCGATGAGAGAAAAGAGGGCGCAGAGATGTCAGAGACCTTCTTATCCTTTCAATGTCCCGATTAGATAGGA